ATTAGCGAGAGCGATGGGACGCTCGATTTCGTTCCTGTCTGTTTCGACGCTTTCATTTTTCCGTCCCTTCGAGAGCCAGATATTTGCATTACAAATACACCTTCACCGGGGTTTTTCTCGTTTCATTAAATTCGCTTTTTCCTCGAGACGTACCTCTTCCTCTCCGGCCTGTCTTTCTACCGTCATGAATGTACTCCCGCATTCATCCCCATTCTAGCGCGAAAGGGTTGTATTAAGAATTTTAATATCGCGGGAAAAAGTTTGTCGCCACCGAACACAGAAATCGTTTGTTCCGCGGACGTGCGTCGAAATAAGATATCATTGCTGTTAATTATTAGTCGACGAGTGCTTTAGAAAGTTTCTCTTAAAATTGTTCCTGCTTGTTAATGATTGCTTTTCTAAAAGGTTGCCTGCTACATGATCGTAATTACTTTTAATGTCTACAAGAACGAATACATTGCACAAATTGTAAAATAGATATTAATATTAATTTTTAATAGTCTTATACTATATTAATGAATAAATTTAACGCAACGAGTAAGTTTAACATTTGAACACCTTTTGAATTTCTAAAAAAATCGGTTACTATTCATGTTCATTAACGATTAATTATTTATCGTTATAACAAGAAAATATTTGACTTTCATTACCTTGACATTTTCTTCGAAAGTATGATACATAACAATTTTTTAATTTAATTAATTTATTTATTTTTAATATAATTAATTGATTTATTTATAATTATTAATTCTCCGAAGCTGATAGTAGATTTATTAGACTCACTTCAATTATAAATCTCTTTGTAAAAAATGTCAAACAATTCAATATTCCTTCTGTTAGGTACATCTGTAAATTTGGATTATTTTGATTAAAATATACTTACAATTAGTATTCATTCTGTTTATACGAGTTTTGTCATTGTAATTTATTAATATTAATTACTGCCTGTCTTTTAATTAACATAAATTAAATGAGTATTACAGACTCAGGATCTTCAACTGTGTTACAAATTTCAGATTTAGAGAATTAATTAGGAACGTTAAAGAACATCTTAGTAAACGATATTTTCAGTGTACAATTTCCACACCGGATTTCCGTCTGAATGATGGATGTTTACTCGTCGCAAATCTTTATTTCTCGAGTTCACCCGGATGATAATCGCGTACGTGCCGCGCGATCAGAAACGGTTACACGGATTTGTTCGTAACATTGACGTTTCGGTAGTTATATCCTGACGAAATTGAGATACGATCGGTCGGTTCTCCCACGCGGTCGACGCGCAACGCTAACGTGAATTATGGAGCTCGCGTGCCATACGATACGCAGGCGGCAGTCGAAAGATACGAACGCCATTTTTTGGCGTGTGGTATTTACGTGGGAACACGATCTTCCCAAATCCCCTGCGCTATCGATATGTTTTACGGGCATACACGCGATGATCTACAGCCGTGTTACAGATCGAGGCACATCTCGACAGAAACACATCTCACTAAATCGAATTCTCTCTTGATATCACAGTATTCACTCTAATTTCTTGCAGTGAAATCTCACTCCAAGAGAGAATATAATCACCCTTGGAAAAAATACAAATATTTTACTTTTTGAAAAAGAATGACGATTTTCACTCCTTTTAGACTGAATTCAAATCCAAAAAAAATGAAAATTGTCACTCTTTTTCAAGAAGTAAAATATTTTTATTTTTTTTCAAGTGGGGGTGATTTCATTCATTTGGAGTGAAACTTTACTGCAAGAAAATTAGAATATTGTTATAACTTACATTGTTATAAATTATATTTTTAATACAGATAAAATATGAAAATGTACACAAAATATGTCAATATGCACAAATATACAAATATGCATTTTTTAAAATACTTTTTAAATAAGGTAAATTTCTATTTTTTTCTTACTTTTCAATCTGTTTTTTTAAAAAAATTGTTTTTCTAAAAAAATATACAATTGCATAAGAATCTGATCCAGTTATAATGCAAGAGATATTTTAAATCTACCGAATCACACACATCATTTAGACGTCGCGAAATTTTTTTATTTAAAGTCAATTTTATTCTACAAAAACATTGAGAGACTATTTAGTTTTTAAATCGCGCAGTTGAAAAGGTTTGTCGAAAACTAATTTAAGAGCGTGGCAAATATAGATTAATAAAATTTTATCCTTTATTAAATTTTAAATCGACCTTCTTTCTTTGTTTTTCTTGAAAAGACTTGAATAGGTATTTGAGAATTGGTTACAAAAACATTTAATATTAAAAATGAAAAGATTGCGATAGACAATAATTTTTTAATTCTTTTTTTTCTTTTAGGAAAATTTTATTTCAAACTGTAGAATAAAACTTTATAAAATAGATGAAAGACAAGTTGTTAAGTTCTTAGGATCTACATAGTAACAACGAAATATGTTCATGTATTATGAACTAAAAGCTTACAGCTGACAAAAAAAAGGTTACAGGCCTGAGTTCTTATATAAAGTCTCGTGTCTATATCTAGTCTACAACGTTGTCTTAATTAAAGTTGGCTGACTTCTGGCTTGTTGCGTCTTTCGCGCCACTCGTCAGGTTCATCCCCAGGGGTGCAATTTACTCGCATCTTCTCCTTTCATCCCTTCACTCAATCCCACGAAGCAGCTGGTTTTAACTTGTCGTGTCTGCATTTATTCCACCTAGCTTCTTAAATACACGGTGACGCCGTCTTATTTTACATCATCTAACTCTGATCGGCTTATTAATTTATGCGAGAGAGGTTTTAATGAGAAGAAAGGCCATTAGCTTTCGTCTGATAATCGCCCCTTATCTATCGTCAACTTTTCCTTTCACGTCGCTATTTTACATAGAAATAACAAATATGTATATTAATGCGGTGTCACGTTTTTCTGATTTATTGAATACAGCGGCGTTATTTTGTTTATTATGAATTTAATACATTTCCTTGATTGTTATGAAAAAAATATGAGATCGCGAAAGTATTTATATATGATATTAAGAAATGACGAAACGTAGTCGAACACGCATGAAACGAATTCCATAATATAGCGCAAAATAAATTTATGTGCGTGAATCAGACAGTAGCAGATGTTTCAAAACAAAATCAGTTACAATAAAATATCTTCTTTAAGGTGCGCAATCTCTTTGTAAATCGGCTAATTAAAAATCAGCGAATAATCCGAAATGCAATTAGAGAAGGTAAAGGGTAGCTATCGTGGGGTAGGTATTGTCTTGAATAAGAATCACCCCGATTGTTTCTGAGCATAATTTGAAATGGCATTCCCTTTTTATACGATTATAAACCTATAGGTCTGGTGTGGTATCCTCTTTAAGCCACTGGTCAGAGGTTCTTCTTGGTCTTTACCATGTAAAACAGTCCCTGCATCCCTTTGTCCGTTGTACCAGCATTGAACGTTAAAGTTCTGACCAAACGAGATGACAGACCGCTCGCATTGTCTACGGACAAGAGTTTCTTCGCGACATGATTCGTTCGATATTTATTTAGTAGGAGCGAAGGCGTAGTTCACCCATGGGACCGTCTCAGATTTTCATGGCGCAAGAAATAGATTTCAACCTTCATTTCCGTTTCCACAGAGTGTCGCTGATTTTTCAATAAATTTACCATAAATGTACTTAATACTCTAACATAAATTACTTTTTTCTATAAGCTTGACAATAATTTATTACAAAGAGCCCGTTCTGTTCAAAACCGTTTAAATGTTGCAAATATTTGTAAAAAAATATAAATTTTTTCCTTAATCCTTTGGAGCGATCTTAATGTAGCTCCGTTATTTACTTTTACTCTGCTATATAACTTTATTAAAGAAGTTACATTTTCTTATCATTGTGAGACTTTTTGGTGTTTTCATCGAAAAAATTTATTATATTGGGAGTACAAATTAGTTCGGTCCGTTTTCCAAAAGATGATCGCCTCCAAAGACGAGTCGTTTTTTCAAGATGGAATTCGAAAATTGCCTGAGAGATGGGAAAAAGTAGTAGCCAGCGATGGACAATACTTTAATTATAATCTGTTCATTCATTTTGTTTTGAAATAAATGCATTTTTGAACAACAAAAAACGAACCAAACTAATTTGTTCACCTAATAATATGCTCATTTTTATGCAATACTTTTTATAATACTAGTAGATATGTGACAAAGTGATATATGTGGAATGGTACCAAAAGGTTAACTATTATACAAATAAAACAACAAATAAAAACTACCGACAAAATGGATAAAATTGTACAATTTGTCTTTGATATTGATGTATTTTATTGACTTCGAGACATCAGAATACCATCCATAATCGCGCATCGAGACAGAATTGCGCGCCATCCTTTGCCCATGCTGACGTTATAAATGGGATGTTATAAACGTGTAGGTGTCGTTTCGTCGAGCGATGGTGATGCGGTCGTGGGCGTACAGAGAGACCTACCATTAGTCTGCAGGTGTTGGATATCCCAGCCACGCCATCACTCCCTCATTCCGGACGATCATGCTCAAGATGATCCCCGGAACGACAGGCGGAAGTCTCGCTATCTCGCGCGGGAACGGAGAGTGGCGGAGAAAGTAAATAATCCTCTTCTGTATTATCCCTGCAGGTTCCTGGAAATCGCCGTTAATGCGTTCTACTAAATCACCCCGCATCTCGATGCCGTCGATGATCAGATTCGCTTTGTTGTTTGCTAATTGCTGTTATCTTGACAAGCTCACAGCTTCTTTACCTATTAATAGAATTGTCGATTCTGTTCGATGAATTGATATCGACACTCCAGTTATTCGCGTAAAGTTTTGACGCTACAGAAGGAAGGAATGTACGTTTCCTACTAGCATTCCATTTAATTCAACAATTACGAAGGGAAACAATCAGTTTGTACGTTCTTGTGTTGTACGATTCGGAGATTGAGAATAATTGAACATGTTAATCAATATCTCTCGAAAGATAAATCGTAATTCGGAAAAAGATATTTTGTAATCGCACTGGTAGACATTAGCGTGCTGCAAGAATTATATTAATTTTTTGAATATCATTAGTTTAGTTCGGTATAATTAAAATCGTAATTGTGTGTTTTCATGGGAATATCTTAAGGTTAGCTTAAATATAACGCATTGATGGTGATTCCTTTCTGTAGTTACATTTATCCTCGTGAATTTGCTTACGAGAGCGTTTCGGTCTGACTCGGCAACCGTATTCGGACCACTTGCATTCTACTTGCTCGTCAGGGTCTAATTCTAGTTGCGCGGGATAATCGAAACCATCCAAGTCTCCTTGATGGCTCTTGTAGTTGCATTTCTGTTCGTGTATGTACTTTCGCCTCCTCGGAATATTCACCGTACAACCATACCGATTAAACTTGCACTGCACCAATTCTTCGGGATCGCCGCTGTAATCGTTATCGGCAATCGTCAAGGACGCGAAACCGTCGCTCATGTCGTTCGTATTCTGGAATACGTCTCCTTCATGGTTCTTGTAATGGCATTTCTGCTCGTGTATGTATTTCCGCCTCCTCGGAATATTCACCATACAGCCATACTGTTTAAATTTGCATTGCACCAATTCTTCAGGATCACCGCCGTAATCGTTATCGGAAATCGTCGCAGATGCGAAATCGTCATTCATATCATTCACACTTTGGAACATGTTCTTGGTCTTGTAGATACAATATTGCTCATGAATACTACGCCTCCATGGCACTGTTCGTACCCTGCATCCTGCTGCAGAGTACGAACAATCTACCAAATCGTCATGGCTGTGGTGAAGATCGGTTGGCATGTGTTGCTGTTCCAAGTGCGGTCGAAATTGGCATCTGAAATTATGATATCAGCATTAACCCAGCAAACTCAACTAATAACAGAAACATAACTGTTAGTTGTAATTTCTCATTTATTACAACACAAGTGTTATTATATTAGAGCAGTCATGCACAATTTATAGCTCACCAATTAATTTTTGCGACTGTCTGTGCCTGCTCATAGCCGAAAATATAAAATTATATTTTCTATTTTAGGCAATATATAAAAACAATAGCATTATGCGTAACAATTTAATAGTTCCATTTTCTTTTTTTATTGATAAGATAAATTTCAAGGTTAATCATTCTCATAATTATTTGTACACAGAGTGTGCGGTAGTGTACAATTATCAAAATAAATAAAACTATACAATAGAGAGAGAGAGAGAGAGAGAAACAGATATAAAATTGTCTCTTAATATCAATAAAGAAATTATACATATATACATATATAATAACAATATACATATAATAAAATTATATAAATAATATAGTAAATTACAAAATACAGAAATAGACATTATGCGGCCATGGACGTCCACAGGATTTTTTCCAAGAAGGGGCATGATTCAAAATATAATAATAATAGTAATATTAATAATAATATTATTGTACGTATATAATTACTAAACTGAATATTTATGCAAAAAGATTTAACTGAATATTTTCCATAAAATGCAAATTTTGCATAAATGCATATTTTTCATAAACTTTAAATATTTCATATAATTTTCAAGTAGATATATATAGTATGATTATCGTAATTATATGATGGAATACACAGCTAATTCGAGTTTTCACAAAGGCAGTAGGCGTTTAAAGCGAAATCTATTTTCGGATCCGTATTGATGTTTCGCGAGTATATCTGAGACCAGACAGACAGTTGAGAAAAAAAGGCAAGCAATAATTTTACATATCCGAAATGCTGTCTCCACGAAATTGAATATTTATGTAACGGCTCCGTTTAAAATCGGAAAAATAATATCGACGACTATGAATCGTCAATTTTAATGCTAAAAATGAACATCGAATGTTAACATGAGCATCCAATGAGCGTTTAGTGATTTTCCTTAATCTCGATTAATTTCTAATCTAGATTAAGTAAAAAATGATGTGTGTTTGCGCTATTTTTGTTAATATCTATAGAGTTCTAAGAAGGAACACATACAGTTTATGCAAAATTAATTGACAATTAAAGATTATAAATTGATGACGAGATAAGAACAAAGTTTTCGTTTTCACCTCGACTCATGAAGCACTCGCAGGTGCTCCGGTATTTTCACCCAGCATCCTAGATGAGAATACGAGCAGGATTCGAAACGCTGATTCTCAGACGGCACGGACGGAGCTTCCCAAGGTCTTCTTTCGTGGTCCAGAAAATCGTTCATCGATTGCGCGCTAGGATTATAATCGTCATAACGATGCGATGGCATGGGATGTGGCATCAAGTGTACCGACTGGGATACGTCTTGTTGTGGCGACAGGATCTCCACATCCAACGGTGCCGCGCACGTGAAGCAGTTGTAATAATAAGGTTTGCAACGGTAGCATACGGTGTGCCCGTTAATGCACGAGTATCTGGGCATCAGTTCCATCTCCATGAAGCAAATGGGACAGAGGCCCTCAGTCTTGAAGCGCTCGTAAAGATTCGGATACAGAGTATCCATGACCTATCGGCAAGGCGGTTATTTAGTGCTGTGGTCCTTCAGTTGTTCTTCTTATCGGTCTTTTGGACCGAGATTGAGACGAATCTACTTCAGCGGAGTAGCTTCGTCTACAAGCAAAGCCAAAGAAAAGCCGGCCACTCGCTCTGCTCTTTCCGCGCGAAGATGAAGAGAAATTACTCCGTGCTCTTATACTCGCGCAGAAGCGCAAGCCAAGTTGCTCTTTTACTATGAAGATTTATGTGCAATTCAATATAGAATAATGGAGGACTTAAGAAAGGCGAACGAGGGTTACGGCTAAAGTGCAAACAGGATTAGGACGAATGCGCGGCGCTAGTGTGCTCGTTCAAAAATATGACCTGTGATTATTTAATCAAGTGCGGTTTGAATCTGATAACCGCTTCTCTGATTACCGATTCTCCGCCATTTAACTGATATCTGTGCACACCTATCGCTTCGATTTGATGACTCTTATAAAAAGTTTACTTCAAATATCTAATCGTAAAGTGAATTTTAAAAATTATAGAGATAATCGACTTTCTTAGCTATTATTTTATTGTAAATATTATATATCAATATTTATCATCATATCATATGTCAATATTTATTATACAATTTAATAATTTTTCTTAGATCGTTGAATTTTTATTAACGATAAAGATACTATACTTACTTTATTTAGTTATTTCCACTCGAGATGGAAAACAGAGACACGAATTACACGTGCGACGGGGAACGGGGGAAAAAAAAAATAGCCGGAGCGACACGTACACTTCCGAAAGCACGGGCACCGTGTGTCATCGTCAGCCTGTCACCGTTCCCTTATCTGTGAGACCGATAGCGCGACTTTATCTGATAAAACGTTCCGCTCATGATAGAGAACTGCTTCCACGTTTTGCTACGCCAGATAAAACGCTCGCGCTCGGGCGGGACAATATGGCAGGAGGAAAAAATTGCTTGCTCTCGTTGCTATGCGCTTCGCGTCACCAAATGGTAACCGCCGCCGGTATTTATTATGCTCGTTACATATGCAGATAAAAAATTGAGAATATAAGGCGGGCGTGTGCTTTTTCGCCAGCGGGTCGTTTTGCACGCGCCGTGCTTGGAATTAATTAACGATTATTCATATGTTTCTGTGATATCGCAGAGCGTCGCAGAGATTTCTCTTTGCGCACCAATTTCTCGACCAAATCAGAATAGATATTTTTCTCTTATAAATTCCCGTCATAGGAAATTTCTCGTCAGAAAAAAATCAGCTTTGAATTATTCGCTGATTCCATGAATAAAATAAACAATACAGATAAAATTCGATATCTCATATGTATAAGTTTGAAAAATATCGCGTTTCTCTGCCAGACGAGTCAGCATAATTGAGTAGCATCGTTTTAAATAGCATCACATAAACGTTAATTGATGACAGCTAATTATATATGAAAAATTGGCAACACGCGGAAACATAATTATGATTGCGTAGCACATATACGCACTCATGTCACGTATCGTATTACGTTCGCTTTGGCGATGTACAATCTCTAAATTAAATCTGCGATCACGTGTCACATCGTTATATATCACTGTGAAAATTTCTGCTGGCCTCGCGTTATTTAATCTTGGATACGATGAACCTGGAAACGTTATCTGCGCGACAGTAATGTAACTTGCAAACGGTGGGATATTCAGCAAGTACGAGTATACGGGGATATCTAGTAGTGGTACAGAAATGGATTTTCTCGATTTAATGAATATAATTTCGATGGCTAATCGAATGCTGCAACCACTTTATTAGGGGAAAGTATTGTCGAGTTAATTAATCGAACGGTTAACGTAATGTCAAAATTTTCGATCATTATCGCCGACAGAGATATACATATATATATTTAGTTACATTGATGTCGCGGATGATGAATTATTAATTGTTTCATTTTTTATTGAATTATTAGGTGTACAAATTAGTTCGGTCCGTTTTTAGTGTTCAAAAATGCATTTATTTCAAAACAAAATTAATGAACAGATTAATTAAAGTATTGTCCATCGTTGGCTATTACTTTTTTCCATCTTTCAGGCAATTTTCGAATTCCATCTCGAAAAAATGACTCGTCTTTGGAGGCGATCACTTTTGGAAAACGGACCGAACTAATTTGTACTCCAATATATTATCTTGTTAGTTAAAACCGCGATTTTTTGACAGATCAGGATAAAGAAAGCCCAAATAGAATAATACAATTTTAAGATCTTCGTAAATGTGATAATTGCAAAATATATTTGATGATAGAAATGAGAAATTGTTAGAAAAACAGAAAGAATTGGATCGCTTTGTCTTGCAAACATCACACGCAAATATTCGCGAATAACGAAACCAGATACTCTCGCGTGATATTTCACACCGGTTCCCTTAACGACCGTCTCTCATTTAAATCCCCGCGCGTACCTCGCATCAAAGATACGACTGAACGACCCTGTTTGCCACGAGGGGTAATACTCGCTGACCATAAGTCACTTATGTAAATCTGCGAGATGGAAACACGCGTCGGGCAACAGTGACGGCGTGCTGACTACGAGGAACCCCAAATTGAATGCAACATTCAACGTTCTGCTCTACGATTTACAAGTTATATATAGTTATTTAAAATTTATAAGCTCTTATAACACTTTGTCTTTGTAACTTTTCAAAAATTGTTGATGGAAATTGTCGAACAGGTAATAATACTCTTTAGCCATTTTTTTTTTTAGTTTATTTCTCATATCTTCATAGATTAATGCACTTGTGAGCCACGGAAAGATCTAAGGGAACTGTTTAATAAATTTTGCTTGCGCCACTCAATTCACCCTCTAACGTACCGAGAAAGGGAGAAAAGAAAGTATTCTGGAATACAGATACGGTACCGAGAAACGAGACGAAATAAGCCGGCAACGGCAGTATGGTATTCAAGCACTCTGAGCCCTCTTCCCAAGACGTCAATTTACTCTTATTGCCTTTTTCATAGTGATATTGCGCCATCAAATTTTTCCGGAAAATCTCCGCTATTCGCGACATTCGCGTGATTTCGTCCACCGCGTCGCAAATGGTTTTGCGTATGGTCGCCCTATTCACGCGACGTGATTATTTATGCAGCCAACTTTGAGGTAGCTCGTTACGTTGATGAAAAGCACTATCGTCATTTGAGCGAAGTAGGGCTAAGTGTCAGGGCCAGTGGAATATCTTGCGGTTTTTGTATTCGCTTTTTGGCTCACGCTTCTACTTCGAGGACATACATTAATGTTACATGCATTTTATATGTAATACATAAATTGTAAAATTATAAATATTTTAATAATAGGGTTGGACGGGAGCTAGTTAGTTTCAACTTTAAAGTAATACGACAATTTACGATGGCAAACATATTCTTTTTGCAGTGATGTGTTTACAATATTACATTATACAATCATATAATTGCTTTTTAAAAGCACAACCTTTAAATAATCAACGTGTGCTGTTCAGAAACATAAACGTTATCATGAAAAATGGACGAGGAAGTCCTATTCATACGTACATATTATTAATATTAATACTTTCAGCATCTAAAATTGCGATAATTATGCAATTTTGATTCCTGCTGTGCTGTAATAATCGTTCTAGAAACTGCTGATTTATCTTTCGAATATCCTCCGCAGCGCGCACGTTAGAGCTATCCGCACATTAGCCTCCTAATCTCCAATCACCCCAAAAGGTCGTGCGGTGAATTTTAGCGAGCAGTAAAGCATTCCTGATCAATAAAGGAGACTATTGGTCATTGTGTAACTTAATCTCGCGACTAGCTTTGTGATTGATTCGAGCATATTTCTAGCTTCAACGCAGAGCATGATCGATCTCACTCGAAATCCCATCAACAATACAGCTGCAATTTCACGTGATTAGCTTTTTACACGAGAAAATTATCAAACTCTTAAGATAGTAATAAGAATTGGAATAAATTCCTTATATAATAAATCCCAATTGAATCAAATGCATACGTTGACGAATATTTCTCAGTGGCTGATCGCGTTTTAAATTGAACTTTTCAATATCCAATGACATATCCACCTTTGTAGCACAAAGCAATGCGCAATCAGTCAGTCGAAACAAATTCCCTTGCTTATAAACACCGCTTTTTCTTTCCGAATATCCGACTATGTCTGTGAGAGCGGATTCGAACCGTGCAATATGTCGCATAATTCGACCATTCCTCATACTACCTTTGCGTGAATTTGAAGGGAACAGACTACAGCATGTGTAGACACACATGTATCGCTTGTAGTTTCATAAATACGCGGAATACACACAGCTCCCCTACGTAGCTAAAGCGAAGTCACGGAATGTAAAATCGATTCAGAAGATATCAGGATCTTGTTGTTTGACGAGAGGGTGGACGCTTTTCTGGAATTGATGAATGCTTCCGTAAATTGTTGCCATACACCATACATTATTTCAGAAAAAAAATCGACCGGGAAATTTTACAATATTTATTTTCCACCACAAACAATTATTAATAATATGGATCCTAGGGTTAAACCGCCAAACTTGAAATATGAAGTTAGGACCTCAAAACAAACAAAATTTTCCCCTGGAGTTTGCTCACAAACGCTTTGTTTAAAATATATTAACTTTTTTAATTACAAACGACAAAATAATTTTGTTTATTTTGAAGCTTAAAGTGTATAAGGTACGCGTTAATGACTTTTAATTATTAAAATGAAGCATAGTGCAAGCATGCGAAGAAATTAAACGCAGACAATGTCAGTGAAGCTGCTCATCTTCTAATCGATTATAGCTGCAATGCTTATTTAGAGCTGAAAGCCATTATTTGAACAAAATATTTTATAATTAAATAATTTGATTATTGTAAAAGAGAGAGAGAGCAATAAAGTATAATATATTATTTCGAAATTATTCATTCCTGTAGTTCTGTAATTTACAGAATATATAGGAATGAATAATGTCAAAATAATCTAGATATCCCCTTTATTGTTTTTATAATAATCAAAAT